AGCACCCAGCTCTCAGGATCGCGCTGTTTCCTGACGCAGGCGCTCCAGACCCATCGCCATTTTTTTCTCCCAAAGGATGGGTTCCCTTCCTTTTCCTTCTCCAACCCTTGCTCCAGTCCAGCAGCACCGCCCTCTCAGAGGAAATGGAAACAAAGAGGCCTGAAAGCCCTAAGCTGTTTCCAGGAAGGACACTCTCCTTAGCTCTGCCGCAGCCCAGCCTGGGAATCGAGATATTTTAAAATATTGTATTGCAATATTAGCAAAATCACATTTGACATTTAAAAAAATCAGTTGGGCATATTTGTGTGGGTCTGCTTCTGGTTTCTCTACTCTCTTGTATTTAGCTATATGTCTCTTTCTTTACCAATACTGCACATTCTTGATTACTGTTGCTGTATATAAGTCTTGAAATCAGGTAGACTGATTCCTTCCACTTCACTCTTATTTGTAGAATTATTTTAGCTATTCTAATTCCTTTGCCTTTCCATATAAATTTTTGAATAATTTTGTCTAAATCTACAAAAAAAATCTTGCTGAGATTTCGATAGGAATTGCATTAAACCTGTAGACCAATTTGGAGAAAATTGACATCTTTACTATGTCAAGTGTTCCAATATATTAATATGATATGTCTATCCATTTATTTAGTTCTTCTTTGACTTCTTTCATCAGCCATTTGTTTTTTAGCATACAAGCCCAATACATGTTTTACTGTATTCAGGGTATTTTCATAGTATATGACAATCTAGCCTTGGTCTGCTTGATACTGGCAAATATATCTATGTAACTGCTTTTGCATATGTGCCCTCTTCTCGTACATCCAAAGATGAACCCAACAAGTAGGATCTAAGTGCATCATGTATGATGGACATTATTCTGTCATCCCTTACTGAACAGGAGTGTTGGTTATTTCAGTCTCTTACCAGTGACTTCTGATTTCCCAGCAAATGGCATTGTCCACTGCAGTGCAAAGAAGATACTCCCAAGGACCCAGCAGTGATACAGCTACGACAGACTTATTTTGTGATCTGCTGGGTAGACCCTGAACGGGAGTAATGCCTCCAGGAAGGTGGTATGCTGTTCGTTCAGCTCAGGCCCAGACTTCGAGGGAGCGAGGGCACCTTCAGATGGTTAAGAAGGAAGAAGAGGATGAAGGCTACACTTCATTGCAGGCTGCCAGGCCACAGACACTCAACCGTCCTGGCCAGGAGCTGTTCCGTCAGCTCTTTAGGCAGCTTCGCTACTATGAGTCTTCTGGGCCCCTAGAAACTCTGAGCCGGCTTCAAGAGCTCTGCCGCTGGTGGTTGAGGCCCGACGTTCTCTCCAAGGAGCAGATGCTGGAGCTGCTGGTGCTGGAGCAGTTCCTGAGCATCCTGCCTGCGGAGCTCCGGACCTGGGTGCAGCTGCATCACCCTGAGAGTGGCGAAGATGCTGTGGCCTTGCTGGAGGAACTGCAGAGGGACCCCGATGGGGCATCACAGAGGGTGAGTGGGAGCAAGTGAGTGGGAGCAAGTGTGTGGTACCCAGTGAACTCTGCCTGCTGGTGAGTTAGCTTGTCTGGGTGTGGGGGCAGCCCTCTGAATTATCAGTGTTGAAGAATGCAGTGGAAATCATCTCATTCTGAACAGCTGAGAACAGGACTCTGAGCCATGGGCCCATTAGCAGGTAGCTCTTGCCACCTTCCCAGAGGAACACCAGCTCCAGAATAGGGTCACAAAGTGGGAGCTAGCCTGCCTCTTTGAGGTCCCTTTGCATATCTGTGCCTAGAGCAATGCTTGGCAGTAGATATTACTTGACTTTATCTCTGCTGTGAACCCTTATCAGTTTAATTCTATTCCTTTTCTCCCATTTCTAAGTTCCAGGCTGGGATGGGGCCTAAGGGATAACGGGTTGTCCCTGAGGCATCTGAGGACTAACAACCAGCCTTGACAGGGCTTCTTTATGTTGAGCTGGAATCTGTTTCCACCTGGACTCCCCCCGGCCCTCATTAGAGCCCAGGGAGGCTGAAGGGTAGGAGGGGCCTCCGTGGACCTTCTCCTTGTCCTTTTCCCTCTGCCTGGAGGTAATAAAGGGCTTGGCTCACTCATCCCTTGGCCTCTGCCTTTTAGGAACCAGCCATGTGGCCTTTTCTGAGTTTGCTTTCTGATTCCCATGGGGGTTATCTCACAATATTTTCTTCTTGCCAGGACCCAGGCCCTACCCAGAGCCCAGATGTGCATTGGATGGGTACAGGAGCCCTGCGATCTGCACAGATATGGCCCCCTGCTTCACCTCTCAGCAGCAGCTCTGCCCTGGGGGACCACCTGGAGCCTCCCTGTGAAATAGGCATGTGTGACTTCCTGGCTGGGCAATCTGGTACTTGCTGCCTGGCTCCAAGACCCTAGCCTTATGCCACACTTTCTGAATTTCCACAGTATTATCTTTTCACCGCCTGTCCTACCATGAGAATCTCTTTCTGCCCTGGCCCTTAGCTGTGTGTCCTCTCCACCACTTCTGTGACCTTTGTCTGGCTAGCTCCTCCCTCCTCCCATTGTACCCACTCCCCTACTCTTGCCTTCCTGCTCCCCAGCAGACACTGAGAACATGTGAGATGGGTGTTTAACCACAGTTTGTTCCTGCTTGTTTGTCCAGAAGTCCTCTGTGTGGGGGGAAGAGTGGGCTTCTCAGTAGGGCATCCAGAGCTGGGCAGCTTTTTCATAGCTCTTTCTTCTCCTTCAGATCCTCTTACTTCCCAAGTGACTGCCCTTTCTCCGAGAGAAGGGTGCCCAGGAAACCAGCTGATGGTAACCAGTTCCTTGACAGCCCAGCCCCAGGTAAGTCACAGGGCCTTCAGTCCTCCCTTGTGTCCCAGGGGTGCTGCCTAGTGGAGTAGTACAGCTCCCCTTATCCTGCATTTCTCTGTCCAGTGACCTCACATCCAGAGACCCATGTCCCACAGACTAGATTATCCCCCTTGAGCCCAGAGCTCTTCTGCTGGTGGTGAGCTTCATCTTTCCAGATCCGTCTTGTGCTAACTCAGAGCCAGCCCCATCCCCCTGCCCCCTCCTGAAAGCTGGGAGCTGTGGACTAGCTCTAGTGCACTATGTTTTTTTCAGGAGGCTATGACTTTCAAAGATGTGGAGGTGACCTTCTCCCAGGATGAATGGGGATGGCTGGGCCCGGCTCAGAGAAACCTGTACAGGGATGTGATGTTGGAGAATTATGGGCACGTGGCTTCTCTGGGTAAGTCATCGTGCTTCTGTCTACCTTCGGCCTTCTCATAGAAAGGGACCTGACCTGGGTTTAGATCTTGGCTCTGTTACTACTAACCAGATCACATAATCTGTCACCTCAGTGTCCTCTTTTGAAAAATGGAGATAATATTGCCTGTCACATTGAGTTATCATAAAGATTAAAGATAGCATACCTCAAGTACCTAGTTATTTAGGCATTCAAAAATTTTGGCTGATTTAACCAATTGAATAGTTGTGTACTTCTCATCTCCGGAGAATTCTAGAGATCCTTTTGCCTGCGACATCTCTCAGCCTCTCTTACCTCTATCTGCTCAGGGCTATCAGAAGTGGTTGTTTGGGCCTGCTGCCCTAGTTTCCACCATCTGCCTTCCTGGCCTTTCCCTTTTCCCTACCAGGACCTCAGGCCAAGAGGGTCCTGAAGAGTAGTTCTGTGTGATCCATCTACCTTCCCATTCCTTTCCCTTCTCTTCTGCAGTGGGACCCTTCACCAAACCTGCTGTGATCTCCTGGTTGGAAGCAAGGGAGCCGTGGGGCCTGAATGTCCAGGCATCTCAGCCTAAGAAGAATCCAGGTGCTGCCCTTATAGGTGAGTTCCAGAGAATCTACTAGGTCCTGCCCCTCCCACATCTGCTGTTCTCTTTCTTAAGGTCAGGTACATCACTGGGGACTTACTCCACTGTTTGCTAGAAGGAAGATCTTTAACAGTATTCCTAAGGGGTGCTGGGCCCCTGGGCCTCTTCCCTCCACGCTGGCCTATGAGAGGCCATTTGTTTCCAGCTCTGTCCCTTCCCCAGAGGCTCTGTCAATAACAGTTCTTGCCCACCAGAGGGCTTCATTGTTCCTCTTCTTTCCAGTCACTGATGCTCCTCCTCAACCCTGTGCCTTCATTCCTGCTGAATCCCCTGTACCCACCCCATCTTAGGTTGCAGTCCTCCCACTCCTGTTCCTCCTCTTTACTTGGCCCTTCCTTCTGTGATGGGCTTGATCTCCAGTCCTTTCAGCCAAGCCCTCCCTGGAGCCATAGCCCTTGGCTTTTGGGTCCCTTTCTATAGTGCTCCTGTGCCACAATTCTCCTCTCTCTTGCTGTTTAACATTCTCTTCTCAACCCTTTTTATTTTTCTGCTGAATATGATTTCTCCTTATCTCTAGTTACAGTACTCATCTTGCTTCTCCTCCTCCCTTGCCTGTTATCTGGGATATTCTTCCATGTTTTGCCTTATCCTTGACTATTTTGTAAAAAGTATTGGCAGGCAAAAGCCTCATCACCCAGCTTATGGACTTCTATTGCACCTTGGTGCTTTGTCCAATTCACTGTGTGGGAAAGAGTACATTATCTTGTTTCATTTTTTGTCAGGAGGTGAGATTCAGAGTAAAACAAACAAGTTCATCTTAAATCGGGAAACTTTGGAAGAAGCAAAAACCTTAGCTGTGCCATCAGGATGTCTTGTGACAAATGTTTCTGCAGGAACAGGGCTCAGAGAATCTTCTGAACAGAACAAGTTAAAGGAGCAATGTGGAAACCCCATGCAAGTGAGAGTTAAGAGAGAAAAAACTGATTTCAGTCACAGGACAGGAAAAGAATCTGAAATATCAGGAAGAAGTAGTAGTCTTGACCTAAAATATGTTACATATTTGAGAGTTTCCGGAAGAAAGCTGTCTGTTAAACATGGCTATGGCAGACACTTCAGAACAAGTTCACACCACAGTGACTACAAGAAATATGGGAAGGGGCTCAGACACATGATTGGGGGGTTTAGCCTACATCAGAGAATTCATACTGGACTGAAAGGGGATGGAAAGGACACATGTGGAAAAGACTTCAGCCATCGCCAACGTGGGCAGAGTCATCACAAGGTGAGGATGTCATATAGGTGTGGTGACTGTGGGAAGACCTTCAATCGTAGCTCCAATCTTGCAGATCATCAGAGACTTCACTCTCAAGAGAAACCGTTTAAATGTAGGGTGTGTAGGAAGGCCTTCAGGTGGAGCTCCAACTGTGTACGACATGAGAAAATTCACACTGGCGTGAAACCTTATAAATGCAGTTTATGTGAGAAAGCTTTTTGTCGTTTGTCAGCCTGCCATCAGCACCAGGAAACCCATGCTAAGAAGAAATTTCTTGAATCAAATCAGTATGGAGAAGTTCTCTCCTGCAGCTCAGGGTTTGATCATCATCCAGGAGACCAAACTGGGGAGAAACCCTTTGACTGCAGCCAGTGTAGAAAGTCATTCCACTGTAAGTCATACATTCTTAAACACCAGAGGGTTCACACCCAGGAGAAACCCTATAAATGTACCAAGTGTAGGAAAACCTTTAGGTGGGGGTCAAACTTTTCTCGTCATATGAGGTTGCACCAGGAGGAGAAGTTCTACGAACGAGGTAAATGTCAAGAAGACTTCAGGCAGACTCCCAACTGCAGTCAGCCCCAGGGTGTCCCCACTGTGGAGAAAAGATTTCTGTGTCAGCAGTGTGGGAAAACCTTCACTAGAAAGAGAACCCTCACTGATCATCAGAGGATTCACACAGGTGAAAAACCATACCGATGTAGCGAATGTGCAAAAGAGTTTACCTACAGGTCAGCCTTTATTGTCCATAAGAAGCAGCATGCAATGAAAAGAAAACTTGAGGGTGGACCATCTTTTGGTCAGGACAGAGTGTGCCAAGTTCCTCAGAGCAGTCACACCACAAAAGAGCACTACAAATGTAGCCAGTGTGGCAAAACCTTCCGTAATCGCTCATTCCTACTCCTCCATGAAAGAATTCACACTGGAGAGAAGCCTTATAAGTGCAGGGAGTGTGGGAAAGCCTTCAGATGGAGCTCCAATCTCTACCGACATCAGAAGCTTCACTCTTGGCAAAAACAGTATGAGTGTCATGAAAGTGAGAACACTCCAGATCCACAGTTACAAGTCCTCACTGATGGAAAACCTTTTTGGTGTCAAGAATGTGGGAAAACCTTTACACGTAAAAGAAGTCTTTTAGATCATAAGGGAATACATAGTGGCGAGAAGCGCTATAAATGTAATCTGTGTGGGAAATCTTATGATAGAAATTACCGCCTTGTTAATCATCAGAGAAAACATACTGATGAGAGACCTTTTAAATGCCAGTGGTGTGGGAAAGATTTCATAGGGAGAGACACCCTTTCTAAACACCTGAGAAAACACAGAGGAGCGGCACGGTCTGAATGCAGTCTACCTGAGTTGTCTTCCTGTCAGGACACAAGGTTCAGTTTAAGGGAATTAAAACCAAGTGGGGGTAAGCCCCTTGAAGATTGTAAGCAAGCTTGTGATCAGAGCTCCAGGCTACCCAGACTCCAGGACATACCCACTGAGGAAAAGTGCCACAAATGTAGCATATGTGGGAAAATATTTAATAAGCGTTCACAACTCATTAGCCACAAGAGATTCCATACTCGAGAGAGGCCCTTCAAATGCAGAGAGTGTGGGAAGACCTTCCGATGGTCTTCAAATTTGTCTCGACATGTGAAAAACCATCTTACATAGTGCGCCGCTTGGGAAGCGCGGCGGCGCTCCCGCCCGAGGGTTCGGATCCCATATACGGACCGGTTCCCGCTCACTGGCTGAGCGAGGCGCGGGAGCAACGCCGAGGGTTGCGATCCCGTTGCCGGTCCCCGGTCCGGTACGGGGGCAACACTGAGGGTTGCGATCCGTTGCCAGACACGGAAAAAGACAAAAGACAAAAAAAAAAAAAAAAAAAAAAAAAAAA